CCACTCAGTGTTCACTTTGAGAATTACTTATATCATAAATTTGAGCATGTAGCTGATGAATATCCACAGACAAGTGTATATTGTTCCACCCATCTCATAACTTCTTGAAGAGAAGATTTATGTATTTCTTTTTCCCACAGGCAGATGACAGGCCAGCGCTGACTAGCATTCCAAACTTAGAGCTTTGTATGCACACAGTCCCTGCTTTTTCTATGCTGTAATCTTGACCACCTTCCTGTGGATATTGGAAAGGATGGCCCTGTCTGACCCAGAATATCCTTGTTTTCAGGAGTCAGTGACCTTCAAAGATATAACTGTGAGCTTTACCCAGAAAGAGTGATCCATGCTACACACATCGTAGAGAGAACTGTTCAGAGATGTGATGATCATTGTGGGTGAGTGTGTCAATTTATTTATATGTCTGAGTTAGTACCAACTCAATGGCACCTAACAACATCATATATATTCAGAGAGTCCTTGTGTGACACTGTGGGTAATGTGCTAGACTGCAAGGTCGGTTTGAACCACAAGCCAGCAGTTCAAGCTCACCATCCACTCTTCAGAAACCCTATATAGGGTTACTGTGAGTCGGAACTAACTCAGCAGCACTTTAACAACATGTATATTCAAAAGCTTTCCCATATCTCTCTCCAGTCTCTGCCCTGATTCTTTCTTAGCATTTCTAAGGATAATTGGTTTACTTTAAACTACATCCATCTTCTAATTTAAATTTCCACTCTGTAAAATGTAATATTTCTGACCACAATTTCATATGATTCTTGCTACTCAAATTGCAACACTCAGAAAAGTCCTGAAAACTCAATGATTATGTTTTAAATGAATAAATGAATTAAAAAATTTTTAAATCATTAATATGCTTTAGAGACTATGCTAAGGAGTTCTATAGTGGTTACAAGTTGGGTTGCTAACCTCAAGGTCAGCAGTTCGAAACTGCCAGCTGTTCCGTAGGAGAAAGATGAGGCTTTCTGTGCTCGTAAAGATTTATAGCCTTGGAAACTCTGTACAGGGTCACTATGAGTTGAAATCGACTCCATGGCACATAACCAACAACAACAACAACCACTAGGGACTATGCTGGAGACCTGTTGTGGTACTGTGGGTTAATGCACTGAACTGTAAAGTCATTTTGAACCACAAAGTCAGTGGTTCAAGCTCACCAGCCACTCCTCTAAAACCCTGTACAGGGTCACTATGGGTCAGAACCAACTCGACAGCACTTAACAACAACAATAACCAAAAGAGAGACTATGAAGAAGCCCTTGTGTGTGGCACTTTCAAAAACCACTGGGCAGCTAACCACAAGTTCAGCAGTTAAAACCCAGCAGCTGCTCCTTTCTGCTTCCCTCAAGATTTACCCCCTTAGAAACTCTGTACAGGGGTGCTATGAGTTGTAATTGACTCGCTAGCAGTTGGGGAGAGAGGAGGGCCCGTGTTTATGTTGCAGAAGACCACAGTAGTAAAAAATGCAATCTACAGGATTAGGTTGTATCTTGAGTCATTCTTATTTTTTTTTTAAAGCTTTTATTGTGAACTGAGTGATACTTTACATGGGAGAACATCAGTTTTGCACTCATTTCCTTTCACTAGACCCACGTAGACAAGATGTAAACTATTGGGGATTCTACCTTCCCCCACACACTCTGAAACTAAACTCCCTCTTGAGAACTTGTAAGCCAGCCACTTTGTGCCTTTATTTCCTCCCCCCCCCCCGCCCCCCCGCCCCCATTTTAGGTAGCCAGTGTTTAAGTTGCCTGTTCCTATCAACTTTTTTTTTTTAAACTCAATAAATATCTTCTTTAATCCCACAATACATCTATGATGCTAACAGTTGTTACTTTATTTTATAATTATGCAAACTAAAGCTTTGATAATTAATAACTGAGGCAAAATGATTTAATTGGTAAGAGAATACTATGAGATTCAAATCCAGGTCTATTTTAAGAAAGTATCCTCCTCACTATTTCCTGGCAACCTGTGTTGTGTTGTTATTGTTGTTAAATTCCATGGAGTCAGTTTCAACTCATAGTTACTCTTTATAGGGGTACCAAGGAGCAACTGGTAGGTTTGACGGCGCTTTTCCTTCAGAGCCACACCAAGATTCCTTGCTCAGCTAGCCTGGGGAAATGGGGGATTGGGACAAGAAGTATTAAATCATGAATTCTAGGTATCTGACTTGGAAATTCTTTAATCTCTCTATTGTTTTTGTTGGTAAGTGCCATCGAGTTGGTTCCAACCCATAGCAACCCTATATAGGGTTTTCAAGGAATGGCTGGTGAGCTTGAATCTTTGACCTTGCAGTTCAAACCAATTTTGCAGTCCAGCACATTAGCCCACAATGTCACACTTATTATTTATAAAAATGTTTTGCCCTTTTTATCACACAAACTAAAACCTGGAGACTAAAAAGTCTTCTATAATATAGAAAGCAAGAAATAACCTTAGGAATTGTCTTATCTAACACTTAAGAGTTTAGTGATGAAGAAATTGGAGTAATGGAGAGTTAAGTATATTAATTAGAATCAAATAATAAATTCTAAGAATTATTGAGACCTTCCTATTAATTTCTATTCCAATGCTTTTAAATGTATACAAACCTGGCTTTTTGTGTTGGAATGTTGTTATTGTTGCCGTAGGCCATTGAGTTGATTCTGACTCATCGAACCCATAAGGCAGATTACCTGTCAACTTCTGAGTCATTCTCTTTTAAGCTATAAAAGGGATTAACCAAGCAAGTGGAGATGAAAGCAGTAAAGAAGTGCCAGGAATGGAGGCCATCCCTTGGACTCATGATCCTTGAACTAGGAACCTGTGAAACCAGGAAACAGAGAAAGAGAATGTTCTTCCTACATTTGTTTTCCTACATATATATCAGTGAGAGAATAAATTTCTGTTTGCTAAAGCCATCCACTTGTGGTATTTCTTTATGATAGCAGTAGATAACGTAAATTTGTTGTTAAATGCTGGCGCATTGGTTCTGACTCAGAGTGATGCTATATAGGGTTTCCGAGGAATGAGTGGTGAGTTTGAGCTGCTGACCTTGCAGTTCAAGCCGACTTTGTAGTCCAGTGCATTATCCTGTAGTGCCACACCAGGACTCCATGAACCAACATGGTGGAACTTCTAGTCATTGGATTTATTTTTAACTAGCCACTTTGAAAACATAATTTCTCCTTGTTTATAAAGACTGAGAATTTTTATCTGTCTTTGAATTTGGGCATGAACATTGAAGACCAGAAGTCTTTGGTATACTGGATGCAGGGTCTAGAATTATCCTTTTTCTGGTAAAAGATTTTCAGTGTGATGTTTTTTAAATGGAGGTAAAGACTTTAAGGCAAAATTCCATAGTTGATGTCATTATTCCTTGCACTAATATTTATTCAAGTGTCCTTCTCTTATTGTCTAGAAAGAAATATTCATGTGTTTATTGGAGTTAAAATTTCAAAATGATTCTTTTTTTCACCTTCCTCTTTGAAGATTATCTTCTATTTAGAGGCATTGTTCATTTTACTTCTGTTATATTGCTATTTGCAAATTTTTTTAAAAAATTGTCCATATCCTGTAATGTAGTTATGTTGTTTTTAAGTGCCGTTGAATCAATTTTGACTCATAGCGACTGTGTATAGAGTTTCTGAGGGTTTAAATCTTTGTGGGAGTAAAAGCTTTATGTTTCTCCTGTGGAGCAGTTGGTAAACTCAAGTCGCCAATGGTGTAGTTCTCCATCCAGTGCTTATCATATGGAGTCCCCATACTGCCCATACTGTATTTCTACTGCTTTTTAAGAACTAAAACCCAAACCCACTGTCATTGAGTCAGTTCTGACTCAAGGCCTCCCCATATAGAGTTTCTGAGACTCTAAATCTTTACTGTAAATCCGGTGGATTTGAATTACCAATCTTGCATTTAGCAGCTTAGTTCTTATCCTATAGCATAAGTAGAAATCTATTTCTACTGCTTAGTTGTTATTGACATTCTTTTCCCATCTGAGTGCCAGTGTTTGACATGTACTCAACATGAGCATTCTAGTTCCTGTAATGCCAAGGTTCTTTTTTTTCAATTTTTTTTTCAGTTAGGGAAAGTGGACTTAGAAAAAACAAGAAATGATTTCTGAAGAAGGCACACATCCTCCACCATTGTTATAATGGTAAGTAAGCTGCTCAGGTGTGAATCCTGTCTATGCAGTAGGGACCTAGGGATGGAATAAATTAAGAATTCAGCATAGTCACCTTGTTGTTGTTGTTGTTGTTAAGTGCCGTTGAGTCGGGTCCGACCCATAGCGACCCTGTACAGGGTTTCCGAGGGTGTAAATCTTTACGGGAGTAGAAAGCCTCATCTTTCTCCCTCGGAGCAGCTGGTAGTTTCGAACCGCTGACCTTAAGGTTCGCAGCCCGAGTCGTAACCACTACGCTACCAGAGCTCCTTACTATAGTTAAAATGATAAACTGCTATCCCCACTATACATTTTGGTTTATTTGAATTTAGGGAAGATATTATTTGAATTTAGGGAAAATATTATTATTTATTAGCCTGTGTTCAAAACTATAAGGTCTCATAAGGAGACAGTTACAAGTGTGTCTTATGTATTTGTGGGAGCTTCAGAAACTTCATGGGAAGATAGAGTGACGAGATAATGAAATTTTTCCAGTAACTTTTTGAAGTCCACCCATAAAGCCTTTTGGAGTATATGAATTTTTCAGAACGCTGCAGTTCAGATGCCTCAAAAGATTAGCTCTCTGTTCAATCAAGAGTAACACACATGTAACTAACATTAGAAACATTGTTACTAAGAGTCTTTCAATGAATAATTATTCTAGAATTCATATGTACAAAAATGTATAAGTGAATATATGTGGGTAAACCTTTAACAATAAATCTTGTCTTTTCCCAAAGCAGAAGATCGCTCACTGAAGAGGATACTTTTGAATGTAATGATTTGGGAGAACATTTTACTAACAGTGATAAAATGACCGAACATGTGTTAACTCAAACAGGAATGAAAGAAGATGTCAGCAAAGAATTTGGAAAATCCCTTAGTGACCAGTCATTAATTTGCTTAAAAAATAAGCAGATTCATAGTAGAAGTAAACCATATGAGTGTCACCTATGTGGAAAAGCCTTTATTCAAAGCTCTGACCTTATACAACACATCAGAACTCACACAGGAGAGAAACCATATGATTGCCATATGTGTGAAAAATCCTTTAGTACAAGATCTAACCTTAAAAAACATGAGAGAATTCACACTGGAGAGAAACCATATGCTTGTCAACTTTGTGGGAAAGCCTTTAGTCAGTGTTATGAACTAAGGAGTCATGAGAAAATACATACTGGAGAAAAACCATATGAGTGCAATGTATGTGGGAAAGCCTTTTTTCAAAGATCTTGCCTTACACAACATAGTAGAACTCACACAGGAGAGAAACCATATGATTGTAATACATGTGGAAAAGGCTTCAGTACAAGATCTAATCTTAGAAAACATGAGCGAATTCACACTGGGGAGAAACCATATGAATGCCCTGTATGTGGGAAAGCCTTTAGTCAGAGCTATGAACTTAGAAGTCATGAGAAAACACACACTGGGGAGAAACCATATAAATGCCACATATGTGGAAAAGTCTTTATTCAAAAGTCTTGCCTTACACAACATAATAGAACTCACACTGGAGAGAAACCATATGAATGTAATCTCTGTGGGAAAGCTTTCATGAATTGTTCTAACTTGAGACGACATGAAAGAAGTCATACTGGAGAGAAACCTTATGGTTGTCAACTATGTGGGAAAGCCTTTAGTCAGTGTTCTGAACTTCGAGATCATGAGAAAACTCATACTGGAGAGAAACCATTTCAGTGTAATTTATGTGGGAAAACCTTCAGTAGAAGTTCTAACCTGAGACTTCATGAGAGAATTCACACTGGAGAGAAACCATATGAATGCCACGTATGTGGAAAAGCCTTCACTAGGAGTTCTAACCTGAGATTGCATGAGAATTCACACTTGAGAAAAACCAAATTTGTCAACTGTGTTGTGGAAAGTCACTAGTCAATGTTTCAGCTGTAGAAATTGTGAGAAAACTCACCTTGGAAAAAACCATACGAATGCTATGTATAGGAAATCCTTCATTTATTGTTTTTGTCTCTAGACAATATGCTAGCATAAATACTAATGATTTTTGCCTTAGGTGTAACATTTAAGCACTGTTACACACCGAAGGAACATTATGTTAATAATCAGTGTGGAAGAGTCTTTAGTAATCCTTACTACTGCAACATAAGCAAATTCATACTGGGCAGAAACCACATGGATGTCATATATATGACAAAGCCTGTAATCAATAGTTTGACCTTATTTGACATTGAAAAAAAGGTTAAAATAGAAATTTAATAAATGTGAAGTCTTTAGTTATAGCTTTTGTTATTAAACCAAAGAACTAACAAGTGAGAAAAATTTTATTTTTAATGTGGAAATGTTTTCTTTTATGTACTGATCCTTTTTAAAAAGTGAAAAACTCACAGGAGATAAACTCAAGATCATTGTACACTATTACCCAACCATTTTCCAGCCTTGGTGTATAAAAGAAAACTCAGTTTATGAATAATGGCCTTTTATGGATTGAGTAGTGCCCCTGGAAAAGATATAGTGAAGTCTTAATTTTATACCTGTCAGAATGTGTCTTTGAAAACAGGGTTTTTCTTTTGTTTTCGGTTACTGAAATCATACCAGAATAGAGTGTGTGCTAATTCCTTCTACGTGGTATCCTATTAAAAGGATGAACAGATATGGAGAATCTCAGTGGGAGAAAGCAGATGCCATATGAAGATATATCTATAAGCCAAAGAACAGCACTTCAAAACACCAGAAGTTGGAACAAAGAAAGATCTTCTCTTACAACAGAGAGAAATGGGTCTTTTAAAGCCCTAGGTTTGGAGTTGAAGCCCCCAAAACCTGTGATTTTCTTTTTTTTTTAAAGACACCTACTTTGTAGCATTTTGTTGTAGGTGCTGTAGGAAACTAAAACACAACTAAAGCAGAAGTTAAGAGAAAAATCTTTAATATGAAGAAAAAGCTTTTCAAGGAATACCAGAGTTCTTCAGTAAAAAATAACGAGAGGTCATTTATTCATAGAGCAACATTTTAGAACATGTGAGGATTTACACTGCAACTCTCAAGTTTTGAATGAAAGGCTTCAGGGATCACTTAGTCCTTAGCTGTAATATTATCACCCTAAGGAGAAAGCAATCCAGATGTTAAAGTGAAACAACATCAAAAAACTTTACATGAATTTCGTATCAGAAACACACACTGGAAAGAAAAATTAAAATTACCATTGAGGACAAACTTAGAGGGTCTCATACACAGCATAAATACACTGTCAAATATATCTAAAAACTGGGAGAAAAAAGAGATGTCTAGGACCTCCTATAAATTAGACATTTATGTACATCAAAAGATTGTGCCAGAAGAGTGTAAAGAACTCACAGACTGGGAAATATATATTGCAGTGACGTATCAGACAAGGGACTAATTTCTAAAATTTATGGAAAACTCTCAACGCCTGTAAGAAAAAGACAACCCAATTTAAAAATGAGCAGAAGTCATGAATAGATACTACCAAAAAAGACAATCAGGTAGTGAAAAAACATATGAAGAATTGTTCACAATCATTAACCATTGTTGTTAAATGCTGTTGACCTTGTTGACTTCCTAGGAGAGGCTGGTGGGGTTGAACTGCTGACTTTGTGATTAGCAGTCCAGTGCTCATCCTTAAGCACTGCAGCAGGACTCCTTATTAGCCATTGTTGTTGTTATGTGCCATGGAGTCGGTTCCGACTCATAGCGACCCTGTACAGGGTTTCTGAGGCTATAAATCTTTACGGGAGCAGAAAGCCTCATCTTTTTCCCACGGAACAGCTGGTAGTTTCAAACTGCTGACCTTGCAGTTTGCAGCCCGGTTTGTAACCACTATGCTACCAGAGCTCCTTATTAGCCATTAGAAAGATGCAAATCAAAACAATTGAGATATCATCTTACCCCAGCATTAATAGCAAAGTTCATAAAAATAGAAAACACCAAATGCTGATGCGCATGTGGAGAGACAGGGACCGTCCTACATTGCTGGTGGGGCTGTTAAATGGTAGAACCACTGTGGAAAATGGTATGCTGCTTCTTCAGAAAGCTGAAAATAGAAATACCATATGACCCAGCAATCCCTCTACTTGGTGTATATCTTCATAAGATATACACATATATATCTTTATAAGAGCCTGAGACAAGTAGATACATACACATTGATGTTTGTTATAGCACTATTCACAATAGCAAAAAAAGATGTAGACAACTTAAATGTCCATCAATGGAAGAATGGATAAACTTTGGTACATAATGGTATATGATAACAAGATTGAAGAAGAATCTGCAACAAACCCCATAATATGAATGAACCTGGGTGACATGCTGCGTGAAATTTGTCAATCAAAAAAAGACATATTGTGTGAGGTACCACTATTTTAAAAACTCAAGAAAAGGTTTTCATGCTAATATTCTTGGGACTTCTGGTTTGGGGGCAGAGGAAGCAAAGGGATTCAGGAAAGTCTCTCGTGGAAGTGCAGAAAAGCCAGAATAAATGCTTTGCTAGGATAGTCCCAGAGCTTTAAATTCAATATAAAGTAAGGGAAAATAGTTTCGGGTGCCTACTGGTGGAGAAATCTGATGGAACAAGAAGAAACGTGGAGATTTCTGAATTAATCGCAACTCTGCCTCTGGCCTGCAGTCTTGACAGAGGTCAGAGGGCAGGTCCATATCTAGCAGCTAGGGAGCAAAAACCACCCAGAGACTTACGGAAAAAAAGGTGTGATTTTTTTTTTTTTTTTTTGTCTTTCCCTTTTTTTTCTTCAATTCCTGTGCACTGACCTGTCACACCCTCCCTGCCTAGTCTGGGTGTCTTCATGCAGGTGGGAGCACACCCCCTAAAAGAGTTCAGCGTTATGCCCTGAGGGCACAATTTTCAAACTGTACAAAGAGAAAGTAGCTTAAAGTCCCAGCTGAAAGTCCAGAGGCTAATCCTCAGGCAGGTTCTTACTATGGCTGATTGGGATTTAGCCTGGAAGTTGACTTAACTACTTGGTTGGGAGCTTTTCTTCTTGTCTGATCTAACAAGGGACAGCAGGTCTGGCCATACAGCCAAGCCATATTTGCACCCTATAAAATCCCAACATAAAAGGCAAGAGCCAACACCAGTTAAAAAAAAAACACACTAAAGGGAGAAGGACACTGTGGATACAGAGAGACCTAACCGATCATCAGAGATAAAAGTCTGAACAATCTTTGGTGCACCTCATTTCTTTGTGAACCTCCACGGCGATGACTCGAGGGGGTCCTGTGGGAGTGGACACCCCCACCCACCCCTGAAGTTTTCCGCTGTGCACACACACTGATCTACTCAGCAAAGATGACTGGACTAATTGGCTACTGGTTTTTTTGTCGTTGCTTTCTTATTTTTTTGTTTTTGCTTTTACTTTTTTCCTTGGGATGGGAGTGTTCTCTCCCTACATTACCCAAGAAGAGACTGTAATTGTGGCCATAAATATAGCCAAGCTACAAGCATACCCTATAATATCACACCATCCAGGCAGAAGCCAACACCAACTTCTATACATTACATAGATAGCCAATACTTGCTAAGATTACTCACAGTTGAGTAATAAGCGATGTGAAAAGGTAAGCCTATCTCCGGAACACATTCACAAGGAGGCACTCAGAAAACTTAATAATACAGCAACATACGTACATTTAATCTTTGAAAACACAGCTACTATTGAAGATGCCCAAGAAACAACAAAACATCTCTGCATATGTCCAGAAATAGAAAAGAGTAACTGAGACAAATGAGCTGGAGGTAGGCATAGACTTCCCACTAGAAGGAGAATAGGCTTTGAATCTGCCTGAGAAAGAATTCAAGAAAATGATATTGAGACACATCCAAATGCTTTACAGAGGGATGAAGGAAAATTAGAAGTCAGCAAAGTGCTACAGGAGTAATCAGATAAGATAGATACAGCATTAGAAATAATTCACAACCTGCAAAAAGAAGTCCAAATGATTAATAAAATATCAGAAATTGACAATATACTGAAAGGGCAAAGGAGCAGAAATGAAGAGACAGAAGCCAGAACCAGCAAGCTGGAAGACAAATCTCTCAATACTGCTAAAGCAGAGCAAGCAGAAAACAAAGACTCTCTGAAGAGACTCTAAGATTCATCTTGGATAACATGAAGAGGAATAACTTCAGAATTATTGGCATTCCGGAACAGGAAGAATCACAAATTCACAGAGGAGATAGTTGAGGATCTTCTGTAAGAATATTTCCATAACATCTTGAAAGATGATAAGTATTCAAGAAGCTGAATGAACACCAAGAAGGATTAACCTCAAAATTAACAAGACATAATCAAACGCTCCAAAATCAAAGGCAAGGAGAAATTCCTAAAAGCAGCCAGGGAAAAGAGAGGTGTTACTTACAAAGGCAAACAAATCAGATTAAGATCTGATCTCTCAGCAGAAACCATGCAGGCAATGGAGAGACATATATAAAAGAAATATTCTTGGATGGTTGTCATGGGTGGGAGAGAAGTAACTGGCTATAGGATAGACACAGGATATTTGTACATGGGTATTTATCTTTGCCATAAACACACCTGTGAATGTGGTGGAGCATTGTTAAGTGCCTTCCAGGTGGTGCCAACTCATAGTGGCCCTGTATAGGATTTCCAGGGAGCAGCTGGTGGGTTTGAATCACTGTCCTTGTGGTTAGCAGTCCAGTGTTTATCCTGCAGTGCTATACCAGGACTCCATGGTGAAGCAAATAAAGGAAAAAATGAAAAACTTACTAGATATTTTTCAATATCCAAAGGCAAAGAGTTGCTGGGTCTGGGAGCTCAGGACCACAGTCTCAAGGGACAACATGGTCATTTGGCACACCATAGTCCACAAAGTCAATATTCTACATCCTAATTTGGTGAGTAGTGACTGGGATCTTAAAAGGT